GTATAAGAATGAACAACTCTGCGACCTGTTTTCCATATTTTCGGGGGGAGTTGTGGGTTAAGCTTGGATGAAGGCAATTAGTTCAGCTTGTTGTGCTGACTTGCTGGTCAATAAGAGCTCTTTAGTTATGTCCCTTGTGGGCGATATTGCATAACCAGCTCAGTCATGTCCTGTTCACCCCTTAAGTAGGATCCATTTGTAAATCAAGAAGATCAGCCTATCAATAGAAGCAAAAAGATAACCTGTTAACAAAACGCAGTTTGGTTGTTTTCTTCCTGTAGTACTGGAAACAAAACTGTAAGGTTAAGGTTATTATATAGAATCAAGATAGTATCAGGTGCAGAAAACAACAATACTTTGTAAGAAGTTAGGTGGCATACAAGAATGGTGCTAAATGTGGTGAGAGTTTAGAAGAGACTCAACTGAGGGTGCCACATCACTCATTAAAGGAGGCCCCATTACTATTTCTCCAGTATCCTTATATAAGAGAGCCCTTGCTGAAATAGCCCACATTACAAGGCAGAAGTCCTTTTATTACCGAGTCTAAGTTTTGGAGCGTTAAAGCAAGTCATCTACAAGCATTTTTGTAAAAGTATCAGAGTGGGACAGTAGCTATCTGTAAATGACAAAAGGCTTAAAAAGCATCATTAAAGACCTGATTATAATGTAGTCTTCAAGGAAATTTGGCTGTTTCTGTGACATGTGAAATTTTAAGATAATCACTAGAATTATGACTGACAACATACCAGGACACTTTGAATTTTAGGAACTTCCTATAATTTCTAGAACATTTATATTAATAATGTTTACCCATAGAATAGAACTTAAGAAGGTTTATTGTTACTCATTTGACAATGTTTTCCATGTAATTTAGCAGACCAAATAAACTTGATTAGTTTAATACCTCTCTGAGATATTCAGGGGGTCCTTTGAAGGATCCCAAAGTCAGTTAGAGGTCAAAAAAACTTCCTTTAGAATTTGAGAAAGTTTGTCAAAGATATCAAAAGGTTTTAAATGTTTGGCAAGTAGGATCATAAGTTACTATGAACAATGTTTATTCATTTAACCAAAATAACCATAAAAGATTTCAAAGGCAAGTGCAGAAAGTTACTGGTAAAGAAATTTCACAATCTGTTATTAAAACCAGATTAACATTCAAGAAAACCTAGAGAAGAAACAAATTCTAGTTTTATCCTATTAAAAATAATCTAGAGAAAAAATAATCTAGACATTCATTGAATTTTCATCATTTAACTTATCAGACCTCTGAAGTTTCAAGTTGCCAAAAATATGGAGAAACTATTTTTAGGTAGACATACCATAAAACATAATTGTTCTTAAATAGTTTACTCAGAAATGTTTAATCTCATCTATCTCTTTCATTATTTGTGAAAATATCATCAGGCCATTAATTTTCTTGTTGACAATTTTATAACATAGATAAATAAGCTTATTGACTTCCAGTAAACCTATGTACAATGAAAGTATTGTATTTAAAGTTGTCGTACTTAACTTTACAGTGAAAGCCGCTCAGTCGTGTCCCACTCTTTGCGACCCCATGGACTAGACAGTCCGTGGAATTCTCCAGGCCAGAATACTGGAGTGGGTAGCCTTTTCCTTCTCCAGTGGATCTTCCCAACCCAGGGATAAAACCTAGGTCTCCCACATTGCAGGTAGATTCTTTACCAGCTGAGCCACAAGGGAAGCCCACTCAACTCTGAAAACATGTCTATATTAATTAAACTATCAGTTTAAACTTGCTTTTTTTTCCAGCAAAGATCAATCCTAGATCACGTGATCCTTTAAAATTCTGAGTAATTCTAAGTTACATTTAGAAATATTTGATTTGTAAGCACTTCTAAATCAATTAAATAAAGTTCTTTTACAAATTAACTTTAATAGCCCCATCCAGAGGTAGGGTTGTATTGTATTCATAACATATACACGATCATACATATATCCAGATAGACACAGAGTCCGAGAGCTTTTTCGCTTGATTTTTAAAAAGCTTCCCACCCTCTTTTTTCCCCTTTTAGTTTTAAATTCTACGTATTGAGCCAAGGCTGTGGTTTTAGGCAAGGTGGGCTGTCTTTACATTTCAAGGACATGATAAGAGTTATAACTTTAAGCTTTCTCCTAGGATTAATTTTGTTCTCTTAGGGTCAGAATTTTGAAAAGATGTTTCATCAAGGAGGCTTTCTCTATAGTTTTGGAATGTTGGAGAGTCCCATCCTGGCCATTTAAGAGTTAAGTGCTTGCAAGCAGTGACTTTGTTCTAACTGTCCAGGAAGCCAGCTGGGATTCTAGGAGTGACTGCCCATGGGAAGCTGCTCAGCCTTTGAAGGATGGTTTCTCACTATTCATTTGATAGCCTATTTCAGATATAATCTGAACAACTAAAGGCAATGTGATGGATTGAATGTGTGCTGCTTCCGACTCCCTAAGGAGTTACCCTTGGGTCCGTTTGACTCTCTTACAAGTCTGGGTTTCTCCCTCCAGCAGTCTGAAACTGCCGTGGGTGCTCAGAGCACCGGGTGATCAGCCTTATTGTGCCCTTGGTGAGCAGAATTTCCTTGATGATTCTAGTGGGATGCCCTGTAGGACCAGTATGAGTCACGAGAGTTGATTCTCAGACACTTCTGCCAGCTTCTCAGTCACCTGAAGACGCATTATGGCTAGAAGAAGCAAAATCCCTTTTCTTCAGAGCTGAGCAGATTCAGTCTCTCATTTCACCAGCAAACAATTTGTTCAGACCACATGAACATACTCTTTCCAGTTTAAGCCAAATTTTTAAAGAGGACAGCCAACCCAGTTTCCTCCAAAGTTCCTCCTGGGTACCTGCCTAGGAATTTCCACTTAGGCCCCTGCCTAGGAAATAGACCGGTATCCCCTTAGGATTCCAAGTCCCAAGAGAAACAGCTTGAATAAAATTCAGGATGTCATTTAAAGCAATGATGTCTGGCTATCAGGAGAACTCACCAAAACACTTGAGGAATACTAAGAAGTGGACAAGGCTTCATGGGCCCATGCTGGTACCAAGCGCTGGTTCAGGGTAGACTCTAGATGTCAGCTGCTGGGTGTCTCTGAAGCTTGCTAGCTACCCCAAGAAAATGTCAAGGAAAATTCAGTTATCAAGTTAAGATGGAAAAAAAATCATTTTATTTCAGCCAAACAGGATTATAAACCAGGAAGCAGCTTTTCCAAAAGCTCTAAGGACTTGCTCCACTTGTTAGAAGTCAAAGGCATGGTTATATCCATTTTAGAAACAAAGAATCATACATCAAAATGACATATTGATATTTTACATAAAGTTCAGCAAGGATACATAGTCCAGGTAAGCACATGATGCAAAGCAAGCTGGGAAACAGTACTATTGATTTAAGAAATTACACTGTACTAAGAAGACAGAAAAAGTATTGCTCTGGAAGGTTTAGCGGGCACTCCCACCTCTGAAGAGGTCTGGCTCTTGTGGAGGCACACTCCACAGCAGGGAGGAGAGGAGGAGACCCAAACCAGCACAGAGAGAAGTTTGTATTCAATTTTTCTTGTCCTGTCTTGAAATGTAAATTATATTTCATCAGAGATGTAACTGGGACATGCAGCAGTTCAGAGGAAGGGCAAGTCAAACTGGCTTCTTTAAGGAAGATGATGCCTGAAGTGCATCTTTCCTCGTTACGTAAGGAACGAGTAAAGTTAGTGAAGGGTCAGCCAGGAAGAACATACTCAGTAAAGGCAAAAACATCCTAGGGGGACTTCCCTGATGGTCCAGTGGCTAAGACTTTTCTCTCTCAATGCAGGGACACTGGATTCGATCCTGGTCAGGGAACTAGATGCCATGTGTCACAATTAAAGAACCTGCTTGCCACAATTTTTTAAAAAAAGCTTCTTCAAAAAAAAAAATTCTAGGTAAGAACTGTGTTGAAGAAAGGAGAAAAGGAGAAGGCTTTTGGGAAGATGAGTTGTATTTGCATTGCATGGAGTCTGAGGCACCCCAAAGTTTAGCAGGAAGCTGGGTTTGCAGGGCTGAAGTTTAGACTTAGTCTGAGATGGAGATGGAGATTTAAGAGGGAGGGAGTAATATTTGAAAATGTGAGTTGATTCAGTTATGTAGGAAGCATATACAGAGTGAGAGAGCAGATCTTTGAGAGTAGAATACAAATAAAATTGACATTTAAGGGATGGATAGAGGACAGTGAGCTCAAGAAGGAAAGAAAATAAATAACAATGAAATAAAATTCATATTTTATGGCAAGACAAGAGAAATTTCAACTTAAAAAATTTTCCCTGCCCTTGACTTCCTCTCTCCCCACTCTGTGCATTGAATATCCGCAATATGCATCAGCCAGACTTCCTCCATTAACAGGAATGCCTGCTCAACATACAAAAGAGTAGACTCATGGAGACCCATGGAGTAAAATTTAAATCAAGGCATGACTTATGAGATGATGGCCTTGCTATTCTGGCAAGGTCAGGGCTGAAAAGATGAAGCATTGGAGACATCAGCATAAAAAGTTTTGATCAATAGTGAGGGTGAAAAAGATGATGTTAAGAGGAATTAAGGAGAAGATAAGTGGTCTGCTCAGGAGAAGTCTGGATGAAAAGAAAAGAGAGGTCGGGGTATAGCTTGAGGGATAGGGGAGGTCAAAGGATGGTGATGATGAACTGCTCTGAGATGAGACTTCGGTATGTTTTTAGACTGAAAAAGAGAAGCTAGTAGGAAGGATGAAGACATGGGAGAGATCTGAGATGACACATGGAAAGAGTTTTCAGGGGAAGGGCATCTCATGTGCCGGGGAGGTGGGGAGGAGGGTGCTATCGCATGACAGCTTGATATATGTTTTTATGATGTGGGAGACAAGGCTCATAGATAGTTTGTTCTACCTGAACTAATGTTCTACCCAAATCTCCCTGTTGCAGGTTCCCTCTTCCTTTTGTCAGCAAACAATTCACTCTCCCTTGGACCGGCTATCTGCGTCCTGCAGAAACATCGCACTTAAGTTATGGGAAGCGGCACCTCAACCCAACACCATTTTGCCTTCCAGAATGCAGAGAAAGGTATGTGCTTCCTACCTTCAGACTAACTGTGGGGACCTCAGTGGAAGCCCTCATTGCACAGGGAGAGGCTTCTCAGGGTGGACAGGAAATCATTATATTGCTCCTCATGCTGACTCTTGAAAATCAGCTTCTCCTGGTGACGTGACCACAGGCTACTCAGCTGAATATCTTAGGACTTGATGAACTATATTTAATAGAATTAAAATTTACTCAAGGAGTCAGTGTTACCCATTGGGGTTTACCCCAAACTCCACCTTTACCTCAAGTGAAAGAAATAAGATTGGGCAGAAAGGGGATGAAAGAGCATTTCAGGTAGAGGGTACCAAGGTCATGACGTAGCGAGAAGAAAGGCATATTCAAGGAACTGAATGGTTGACATGAATGAGATAGAGGATGGTATGGCATGAGGCTGTGGAGGTGAGCAGAGCCCAGATTACCCAGGAGCAGGTAGGATTTAAACTTTATTCTAAAGGCTTGACAAACCATTCAAAACATACATAAAAGATTTACATACATACAAGACTCTTCTGGCTTCCATGAAGAAGGGATTGTGGCAGGGATTGAAATGGGTGGTGTAAGAGTAGAAGGAAGAACAGTTTAGAAGCTAACGGTCCGTATAGTCAAAGGTGTGGTTTTTCCAATAGTCATATATGGATGTGAGAGTTGAACCATAAAGAAGGATGAGCACCAAAGAATTGATGCTTTCAAACTGTGGTGCCAGAGAAGGCTCTTGAGAGTGCAAGGAAATCAAGCCAATCAATCCTAAAGGAAATCAACCCTGAATATTCATTGGAAGGACTGATGCTGAAGCTGAAGTTCCAGTAGTCTGGCCACCTGATGTGAAGAGCTGACTCATTGGAAAAGACCCTGATGCTAGGAAGATAGAAGGCAGGAGAAGAAGGGAACAACAGAGGACAAGATGGTTGGATAGCATCACCGACTCAATGGACATGAGTTTGAGCAAGCTCCAGGATATGGTGAAGGAAAGAGAAGCCTGCTATACTGCAGTCCACGGGGTCACAAAGAGTTGGACACAACTAAGTGACTGAACAATAACAACAAAAGTCATCTAAGCAAGAGATGATATTGCCATGGTCCAGAGTTGGTGGCTATAGAGATGGGAGAGAAGAGGATGAATTCTCACAATACTCAGGAGGTGGAATGGACAGGATCTACCTGATTACATGTGTGGGGTTGGGGAGAAGGATGAATCAAGAGTGATGTCTGAGGTACTTCCTGGTGGTCCAGTGATTAAGAATCCCCCTGCCAATGCAGCCTGGAGAAGGGAATGGCAACCTACCACAGTAATCTTGCCTGAAGAATCCCATGGACAGAGGAACTTGGAGGGCTACAGTCCGTGGGGTCACAAAGAGTTGGACACGACTGAGCAACTACATTTTTTTCTTTCTTTCTTCTTTCTGCCAATGCAGGGGATGCAGCTTTGATCCCTGATTGAGGAACTAGGATTCCACATGCTACAGGGCAGCTAAGCCTGTGCACTGCAATGAAGATCCAGCACAGCAGTCAAAAATACAAACAAGCAAAAAAAAAAAATCAATTTAAGGAACAAAATAAAGTATTAGCAAAGAAAAGATTGACGTTCAGGTTTCTAGATAGCATACCTGTGCTGTGCTTAGTCATGTCCAATTCTTTGCAGAACATGGACTGTGGCCTACCAGGCTCCCATGTCCATGGAATTTTCCAGGCAAGAATACTGGAGTGAGTTGCCATTTCCTTCTCCAGGGATCAAAACCACATCTCTTTATCTTGGGATTCCTGCATTGGCAGGTGGATCCTTTACCACTGAGCTACCTGGGAAATCCAGTTTACCTGGGTAGGTGATAATGCCAATTTCTGACATAAAATTAATGGAGAACAACCAAGATCAGGTAGAATGAAAGTGATGATTTATACACATTGGGTTTGAGGTGCCCATGTAACATGTAGGTGGAAGTGCTGAGTAGACAGTTGCATATTCAGATCTCGTTTTTGGAGATATCAGTGGAGATCCATGCCTTTGGAAGACATCAGAGTATGGGTGATTGTTGAAGCCATGGGGGTCACTGAAGTAGCCTAGAGTGGGAATAAAGACAGAGCAATGAAGGATTCTAGTACTTAAGCATCAGGTCGAAGAGAATGAGGCAACCAGAGATGTAGAAGGAAGCAAGGGAAATAATGATAGCATCTTGTTTCTATGGGGCTTCCCAGGTGGTTCAGCTGGTAATAAATCCGCCTGCAATGTGGGAGACCTGGGTTCAATCCCTGGGTCAGGAAGATCCCCTGGAGAAGGGAATGGCTACCCACTCCAGTATTCTGGCCTGAAGAATTCCATGGACTGTATGCTCCATGGGGTCACAAAGAGTCAGACACAACTGAGCGCCTTTCACTTTCACTTGTTACTGTGAGCTTAAGTATCTTTATAAACTCATGGCCTCCTTTCTAGTTTGGCAACACATCCCAGGCTCATCTTGCACATTTTTGTCTCCAGATTAGAAATCACTATTTCTCCAGGGTTTGGGGTGTTCGCTACCAGGTTGGCCATTACTTCCTATGCTTTTTCAATGAACAGATCTGGAAAATATGCATTATTTTAATGGACAATTTATACTTAGGATCACAATACTTTGACCTAACAGCTTTGATATTCTATCTCCTTTCTCTTTATTAAAAATCTTTTCCCCCTAATGATACCAGTATGGTATTATTTACTTTGTCCTACAGTATATAAATCAGTATCAGAAATACAATAATAATACTATTACAACAATATGATTACTGAAAACTCCTTAAGACTTCTTTGCCTCAAAAAGACTTCTCCTTTTTGCCCTTTGAGTATATCCACTTAAGCATATACAATTCCTGAATTTTCAAGTCATTTGAAAGAACCCCTTTCTACACGGTTATGCCATCAGTGCATACAAGGTTAGATTCGCTTGTTTAACATTTGCTTTTTAAACATTGATTTTTTTTTTGTTTTGATTTAAATTTGTTTTATAATTTTATAAAACATTTATACATTTCGCATTCCAATTATCTGGTGCTGCATAATCAATGGCCTCAAAACTTAGTGTCTTAAGACAACCATTTTATTCTGCTCGTGATTTTGTGGGTCAGGAATTTGCCAAGGGCCCAGTTTGATGGTTTGCCTATGATCCTCAGGACAGCTGCAGCTGGAGGTTCAGCTTCCGGGATGGTTCTTCACCTGGACCTCTGTCTCCCCATGTGGATGCCTGGTCCTCAGTGTGGAATTTTCGCAGCTAGGTGTGTCTGTAACTTTTCCCATAGGATGTACTCTGCCCAAGGCTGAGGAAGGGAAACCCGAGCATCTTCTATTGCACCGTAGGGAACGGAAGATGGAGTAGAGGTCCTTAAACTATGCTATACCTCATGGCGGCCATCTCAATGAAAGGTAACCTGGGTTCTAGATGGAGGCTTGGGAGAGAAGACAAAGAGACACAGAGGTACTGCCCGCTTTCCCTGCCCCAAGCAGCCGAAGCGGAGCTGAGGTTCTGTGTAGTCCGCAGCGTTGTCTTTAAATGCCTGAGGCAAGGAGTTAGCAAACAACATTTTCACGGAAACTTGGTGGCCGTGATGTTCCTCGGTGTTGCTCACACTTCAGCACAAGTGAGGATGATGCATGGAGCTTGTTAAACCTGCAGATTCCTGGGTTCCATGTAAGAGCCATAGTGAGGAGCACATGTCTGTGTGTTTGCCCTGGATTCCTAGAGTTACTTTAGGTAAGGACCACTTATTCTGGATGTTGCATTCACTATTCTGAATGGGGATTTACATAATTTAGTCTTTGTCACTTATTATTTTGTGAGTGCCTTTGGAACGTACTTAGTGTGTGACTTTTTTTTTCCTCGCGGAAGATCAAATTCAGCTTTGCTTAAGTTCCTCTCAAGTTCCCTTTTCCCACTCACTATTGGATCTCCTCTTAGGGATATCAGCAAGAACTCCACAAGCTCTCTAATGCCAGCTAAATATATTAAATCAATCGGTCTGCTTTTCACGAGGCTGACCTGAATGAACCTGCCAGGTTTCCTTTGTAATCCAGCTTTATCCACAAAGGCTCCATTCATCCCCCCTGGGCACTTTCAGGCCCCGGAGTTTAAGGAGAGTCTAGTTACTCCTGTGGACAGCTGTCCTCTTCTCTGGCACAGTAGTTGACTGCAGGTCCTAAAGCTCAAAGAAAGAATGAAACCTCCTCAAGCCATCCTGCAGTACCTGAGCACCCAGCACAGGTCTTAAGTCCACAGACTGCCCTTCAGATTTGATAGTCAGCACCATCCTGGATGTGAGGTGATGGGGATACAAGCCACAGGGATAGAGTGAATATGGGGACAGCAACCGCTGACTCCCACCTGACGTGATAATATGTAGTGATGCGTGTGTGTATGTCTATTCCCCCCACTCATTATCTAGTTCATCTCCTTTTCCAGATGAGGATTCTGAGGCCCAGAAAGTTGACTGGACTGAGGCTACATAGCTGGTCAGGGCATTTCCAGGCTCAGAACCAAACTCCTGACATCCTGTCTATTGTTATGTTAGTCGCTCAGTCGTGTCTGACTCTTTGCAATCCCACAGACTGTAGCACACCAGGCTCCTCTGTCCATGGAATTCTCCAGGCAAGAATATTGGAGTGGGTGACCATGCCCTTCTCCAGGGGATCTTCCCAACCCAAGGGTCAATCCCGGGTCTCCTGCATTGCAGGCAGATTCTTTACCATCTGAGCCAGCTGGTATCAAAATATCCTCCCCACCCTGTGACCCCTGCATTATCCCACTCCATTTTTTTTTTTTTGCATTTGAATGTATTTATTTTTTTATATGGTTTTCAAAGGTGAATTTCCATTTACAGTTGTTATAGAATATTGGCTATATTCCCTGTGTTGTACAATATATCCTTGTAGCTTATTATATACCAAATAGTTTGTACCTCATATTCCCCACCTCTATATTGCCCTTCCCCACTTACATCTCCCACTGGCAACCACTAGTTTGTTCTCTAGATCTGCAAGTTTGCTTCCTTTTTGTTATATTCCCTAGTTTGTTGTATTCTTTAGATTCCACATATGTGATATCATACAGTATCTGCCTGTCTCTGAATTATTGCACTTAGCATAATGCCCTCCAAGTTCATCCAGGTTACACACACACATACACACACACACATGGCAAAACTTCATTCTCTGTTAATGGCTGAGTAATACCTGCATCTTCCCACTCTTCAAGTGTACGGCAACCATGCAGCCTCCCCATTTTACATGTCCTTCTCAGAATCCAAGCTTTCCACCTCTACATGTATAAATGTTTTCATCAAACAAACAGTGGGAATTCCAATAACCCTCCAGTGATATGAGTATAACTAACAGGTAAGACTGAAGGAGGGATGGGGGCCGGAAGGGGGAATCGGGCTCCCTGGCCATCAATGGGACAAATCCTTCCTATTTGATGGCAAAATGTAGTGCTTTTCCCCCATCTTAACCCCCGGCCACCCTCAGCTCCCCACTAGGCCCCAGGAGCCCCATTTCACCAACTGGCTTTTCCATCTGTGTCACAGCCTTCAAGGCAGCGGCCCTGATCCAGAGGTGGTACCGACGCTACATGGCCCGCCTGGAGATGAGGCGGCACTGCACCTGGAGCATCTTCCAGTCCATCGAGTACGCCGGGCAGCAGGACCAGGTCAAGGTGCGCCGAGGTGTGGGATGGGACCACCTCCAGCTCTGCCTCTCAGCCCCCGGGGCAGCACGCCCCAAGGGGCCTGGAAGGCTGTGGATCACTCCTGGGGTCCCCTTCTGTCTCTAAAGCCACATCTGCTTGGGTTTCTCTGCAGCTCCACAATTTCTTCAGCTACCTTGTGGATCACGTCACCCCCAGCAGTCACAACGAGAGTGAGTGTGAACTGCCACCGGCAGGTCCTCCAGGCTGAGGTCAGAGACATCGGGGGAGGTGGGGGGCGCGCGGGGAGTGAAAATGTGAATCTAGTGACGGCCAGGGAATGAGCGAGGAGGTTCTCCCGGAAGCACACGAGTTTGAGAAGGAGGCGAGTCTGAGCACAGGGAGTTTATTTGGTAAATAGAGGAAACACTGGGAGGTGGAGGAGGGGCTCAGAAAAGGGGAGGTATGCGGTAAAGGAGTGGCTAACTAAACCAGCAGTTTGTCAGGGAAATAATGCAAAACGCAGCCCAGGAAGCCTCCAACCTGAAGGCAGTGGGAACTGGAGTCTCTGTCAACTCCTGAGAGTCACTGGTGGGAGCTGCTGGGAGGGGCGGATGGGAAGGATCATTGACGTGCTTCCGGCCTCTCTGCTGATCCAGGGGAAGCCCTCAGGCAGCGATGCTAGGGCGGCCTTTGGAAATCAATTGCCCAAGAGTCTGAGGCATCTGCTGTACTAAGTACCCCAGAAATGCCTGTGAACGTCCACTTAAAATTTTAAGAAAATTAAATGTGCATTAATTTTTTTCAATACCATCCTTGTAGAGAAGGGGGACAAAAAGAAGCAAATGTGGAAAAACATGGGAAACCTATTGAAAATATGTTTATTTCCCCAGTACCCCTTTCCTCCTGCTTACCAACCTAAGCCCCTAAATCTCTGTACTTTCTAAGTCACTCAGTCTTTTAAAATAAAAGTAAAATGGATTTGACATGATGAAACCTTTCTCCTGCCCATCCTAGTTTCTCATGATCTTGCCTTCTCCTTTCCCCTTCAAGTGCAGTCCAGGGAACGGACTCTGTATTTCCCGAGCCTGCGGGTCTGCTCTAAGCCAGCCCACTCTTTCTCTCCTGCTTAGGGGACTTCCTGACCCGCATGCTCACTGAGCAGCGATCCCCCCAGGACTCCGAGATGGAGAACTGCAGTGACTATGAGTCCATCGAGGTACCGGACAGCTACACAGGGCCACGCCTCTCCTTCCCGCTCCTTCCTGAACATGCAACTGCCCTGGTGGAAGCTTTCAGATGGAAACAGGTAAGCCCACACCAGGATCCTGGGTCACCAGCAATCCCACGGAAAGGGTAGCAGCAGGGTGGACACAATGCAAAAGGAATGGCCTTGGATTTAGGGTGTTCGTGTCAGGGGTCCACCAGAGAGATCCACTCACCGTTTTCTTAGCCAGGACCTTGTGGGTGATCAGCCGGTTTTTATATATTGAAAACCCCTCCTCCTAATCGTGTAATCTCTTTGTTCATTCATCCCAGAGATATTGAGCACTGCCATGGGCAGGCACTGTTCCGGATACTATACTGAACAGTGAACAAAACAGACACAAATCTCTGCCCGCAGAGGGCTGACATTTTAGTGGGGAGACACAATAAATAACAAATTAGTAATATATATGTATAATATGTAATATATACATTTCATATATATATATATATGTAATATGTAATATATTAGGTGGTAGAGCTATGTCAGAGCATAAACTAAGTTCCCAGTGGGAGAAATGGCAATTTTACAGAGTGATCTGGGAAGGCATTACTGAAAAGGTGATTTCTGAGCAAGGGTCGAATGTGGCGAGGGAGTGTGCCACGTGTACGTCTGCGGAAAGAGCTCTAGACAGGGGGAATAGATGGCAAGGCCCTGGGCAGGACCTCGCCCGGGCTGCTCCAGGACATCAGCAAGGCCACTGGGGCTGGAGATGAGGGAACCAGGAGACAGCTGTCAGGAGATGGAGATAGAGGGGTAAATAGGGTAGACTCGATCTTCTGAAGGAGATGGGGAAACCATGAGCACAGAAATGATATAATCCAGCTTTCTTTTTAAAATAATCATACTGTTTGCTGAATAGAGTGTAGGGAGCCAGGGCTGAAATAGGGAGGTGGGTCAAGAGACTACTGCAATATAGTCCAAGCTTGAAACCCAGGCATAGAGGTAGTGAGAAGTGGCTAGAGTCTGGCTCTTAGGCCAGATTCCAATCCTTCCCCTGATTTCACACGAAGATAACTCACTACAGAAGCTGGGATGATTTTCCCAGTAATGTCAGGATCACTGATACCATCAGCGTAGAGGCACTTATTCATAAAACAATCTTATGTTTCTCCCTAGCTAATGGCAAGGAAGGGTTACACAGAGTAGGTAGGAAGAGGACATTGGTTCAGTATTTAAAGGATGATAAAAAACATGAAGAAAGGCAGAAGATGAGTGAAAAAGAAACAATCTGTGCATAGGTCCCAGGAGCAGTTTACTAGGGTCACTTAACGCGGTCTTGGGGTCATTCAGTGGTAAACATGTGACCCATCTTCCCTCACGAATATGTGTTGTTTTGTCCCCTCCCCGCTCTCCCTCCTAGTAGAGGCTCCATGCTCGCTATGTCTTGAATCTTTTGCACGAAGCCAGGAAACATCTGGTACAACTGCCAAACATCAACCGGGTCTCCACTTGTTACAGCGAGGAAATCACAGTATGTGGTAAGAGCCGGTCAGAAGTGGCTTTATGCACTGGACATGAGCCAGAAAATTCTGTCTGTTGTCGGGGAGAGAGGGGAGGCCTAGGGGGGTCCTGATGGCCAGGTGGGCAAGCCAGCGTCATGCCTTCACACTGAATATATTTACATATTTATTCCACAATTACTTAAATGGGGTGGGGAGGGCCAGCGCCTTGAAGAATTGTGGGCCAGAGGGCCCAGCCTCTTCTTGATTTTTCCAAGAGATTCAGATTTGGCCCCAAACTCATGCTGTCCATTCAGAACAGAATCCCAGCAAATAACTAGACCTTCGCTTGTTAGAAGACAGTTTATTTATTGTACCTGAACAGTTCTAAATGCCTAGCAAATGATTCCTTCCGTCTACATTTACTCTTAAAGAGAAATCCCATTGATGACAATTTTCTCCATCTCCTTCTATGATCAGTGATGTCTTAATATCCATTACAGGGGAAACTATAACACACAGGGGCTATAAACTAGCACTTCCAGGGCCACACGCAGCCTGCAATATGTCTTGTCTGCTTCAAAATGTTCTTAAATTTCTAGTTTCCAACATTTGAAAGTTGGGAGGATTTCATGTTAAAATCTAGATTTCCAACTTCTTGAAAAATGTTGTAATACTGACCCACATCAGTGAGTACCAGCTTCTTACTTTAAGATGGGGCAAAAACCTCTCCAGTTCTCATCCAGGCTTTTAGCCCTACACCATTCTGTCCCATTTACTGTTTGTGATAATCATACAGAAGAAATATCATGCTTTCTGCTTTCAATATTAACTAACCTTGCAACAGGGAAGACATTAACACCAAGACATTAAGTCATGTCTGACTCTTTCTGACCCATGGGACTATATAGCCCACCAGGCTATATTTCCTCTGTACATGAAATTTCCCAGGCAAGAATACTTGAGTGGGTAGCCATTCGCTTCTCCAGGGGATCTTCCTGACCCGGGATTGAACCCACGTCTCCTGCATTGGCAGGTAGATTCTTTACCACTTAACCACCTAGGAAGCAGCTAATTATTTGTCCCTGTCTTATATATGGAAAAATGAATGACCATAAGTTTATCAGGTTTTCCTGGATATTTTTATTTAAATTGAGTTACAGCTGACATAATATTGCATTAGTTTTAGGAATACAATGAGTATTTTTTATAGTAAAAATTAGAAACAATGGTGAAGATCAATCAAAACTGATATTTTTTCTTTGTTAGGAGATTTACATGGCCAGTTGGATGACTTAATATTTATATTTTATAAGGTATGAACCCTCAAATTATGTTTCTGTCTTGTTCTGAGGTTTAATTTAGAAGTTCACATACAGTATCTATTAAAAAATGCTTAAGTAGTACTTGTATTTTAAAATATTTTAGAGTGATATTTGCTACTATGTAGCAAATGCAGAATGTAAAAATGATTATTGCATTATATTGTAGTGTATTTTTGTAGACTTTATTTTTTTATTTTTTTCATTTATTTTTATTAGTTAGAGGCTAGTTACTTTACAGTATTGTAGTGGTTTTTGCCATACATTGACATGAATCAGCCATGGATTTACATGTGTTCCCCATTGTAGACTGTTTAAAAAAGAGAAAATCTATGGTTAATAAAATCATTATTTGAAAAAAAGAAAATCAAGTACTAAATAGAGAAAATTATTTATTATCAAAGCAACTAAAAGCTATTATCATACCTATTTTTAATTACCAAATGCTCTGCATAGTGATAAATATTTCACTAATGTAATTAACACAAAGCATTTTCTGATGTATTGTCTTGTTAAATTCTGAGAAATGTATGGCAGCTAGTATTATTGCCAGTTAGAGACAGAGTGGCCAGAACTTAAACGAGCCTTGGAATTACAAACCACCTGGCAACACTGTGCGTTTGGATAATGAACACATTTATTTTGGTGAGCATGTCATAACCTCAGCCTTGCTAGAAAGGAAATATGAGACCAACAGAAAGTATTTCCAATACTTCCATCTTTTACTGACATTTCCCGTTTGGAAAAGAGCCAGACAGCACAGCACTGGCTTTCAGGCCTGATGTGACTGTCAGAGGCACAATGGCTTGACCCGATTTCCTATTTCCTTCCTCCCGCTGTTTCTGCTTGGACTTCACTCCTCGTTGGGAAGAACGGCCTCCCATCACCAGAGCGGGCCTATGTGTTCAATGGCGACTTTGTGGACCGAGGGAAGGATTCAGTCGAGATCCTAATGGTTCTCTTTGCCTTCATGTTGGTTTACCCAAAAGAGTTCCATCTTAACCGAGGAAACCATGAGGACCATATGGTGAACTTACGGTAAAAGCCAAAACATGCTGGGGGATTCGGTCTTTACTGGTTGCAGCTGTGAAGTTATTTTTCCAGAGCTTCTTATTTGTTAGATGCATTTTCAAAGCAGTCTTCAAGTTTATAAAGTGGAATACACAATATATACCATTTTAAAAGATATTCTTAAAAGCTTACACATTATCCTACTATTCTAGTAAAACTATTACATTTGTTTTCACATGGCCAAACACTTTAATTATACAAACAGTAAGGGTTCACTATAGAAAAAGTACAAAATATAGATAAGCAAAAGAAAATTAAAGTATCCCATATTTCTACCCACAGATAATGTAATTTTAAACAGCTGGCAATTATTTTGCAATGTTTTTTCTATATATTTTTTTTTTAATTTATTTTTGATTGGAGGATAATTGCTTTATTATGTTTTGTTGGCTCCTGCTATACATCAATATGAGTCAGCCATAGGTATACATATACAATATGCATTTTGATAAAAATGCAATTGTGCCATACATAATATCACTAAATTTAATATCTGTTTCTGCTTCTAACTCTAGATATGGTTTTACCAAGGAAGTGATGCATAAATATAAGGTATGCAGCTCTTAAAAGCATAAGTTTCCCTCAGTGCAGATAAATCAAGTGAATTATTTAAAACTTACTATCATGTTTTCAGATCCACGGCAAGAAAATACTAAAACTACTGCAAGATGTGTTCTGCTGGCTTCCACTGGCCACTCTGGTTGATGAGAAAGTCCTGATTCTTCATGGTGGAGTGTCAGACAGGACTGACTTGGAGCTCTTGGCTAAACTAGACAGGCACAAGGTACTGACTGAGCACTAAAATAATGTGGATTTCTGTATAATGCCAGGCGTCACTGCCAACGAATGTAAAACAGATGTCATCTTGACTCCATGCTGACTCCAGCTGACTAATAAGGGCTGTTAAGAGAATCCTTTAAATCTTTGAACAGAGGATTGGAAATCCACCGCTAGAGCAGGTGTACTGTGATTCATTAACGTTTGCCATGGATGATGGTGGGGAATGGCAGCTAGTGCCACTGTTGAAAGCCTGGACCTGCCAGGGAACTCCCTAGAACCTTTGCTTTCTAATTTTCCACTTCCAAAATGAAATAGAAAAAATAGAAACTATTGGGGTGTAAGATATTCTGTTTTTTACACGCCCCCTCCTCCTGCTTGTTTTTGTTAAGTTCCTTTAGGACAATATTAATACCATCTCTGGTTATTTTGTATTTCTGATATCACTTTGTTTGCATACAGTAAGCACTTAAAACATGGTTGTTGAGTTTAACTGCAGGAATTGAGACCCTGCAAGCTGTGCAGTGCAGCCAAAAAAAGAAGCAAAGATTCTGTTTTCTTTTAATCATAGACTCTTACCCTTGAATTGTATATTATAGCCTCTCTCCTCCAGCTGCCTATCTACCCAGGAATGAATCCCTGCTATGACATCCTTGAGCAGTTCCAAATACAAAGAACTCATCCCACATAAGCCAGTCTACTTTGGGCAACTCTAACTGAGGTACAGTAAGTCCTGTACATACGAATGAATGTGGTTGTAAGAACACATTCATAAGTCCAGTTTGTTCGTGAATCCCAAGTTAGCGTAGGTTCCCAACATAATCAGCTATATAGTGCTGTACTGTAATAGGTTTATAGTACTTTTCACACAAATAATAGATACATAAAAAACAGACACAAAAAAACACTTTAACTCTTACAGGACAGTGCCTTGAAAAGTACAGTAGTACAGTATGACAGCTGGCATACAGGGCTGGCATGCATGTCTTTGAAAGTTTGCAACCTGGAGGTTCATATATACAGAGACTTACTGTAGAAGGCTACACTGCTGTTGTTCAGTTGCCAAATGGTGTCCGACTCTTTGCAACCCCATGAACTGCACCACACCAGGCCTCTCTGTCCCTCCCCATCTCCCAGAGTTTGCCCAAATTCATGTCCACTGAGTCAGTGACACCATCCAACCATCTCATCCTCTGTCACCATCTTCTCCTTCTGTTATGAGACATAAATGAAAGAGGGTGGCCTTAAAATCAAACAGACCCGAGTCAGAATCTGGAAGCAAGCACTTCTTGGCTGGTTTGGCAGCGTCGTGTACTAGGCTGTCCAGGCGCCGAGGCTTCTTATGTCTTGTTACTCTGCCATCCTTAGACTGTCATCCCCATGCCCTCATGTGCATAGCTCAAGATAGCCTGCCACCACACCTGCGTTCCAAGCAATACAGTAAAGGAATGAAGGGAAGAAGAATATCCTACCCTTTAAAGACATAGTGAAGAAGTTGCAAACATCTCTTCTGCTCTCATCGCACTGGTCAGAACGTAGTGCATTCCTGTAGGCAGGATGTGGTGGCTCCTTTGATCTCTGTGGGACCATCTTAACTCCAGTGTGATGGATCCATGGCTTAATTCCCTTCAGCTTCACCAGGGAAATGGGTTATGAGTATCACCTCATAAGGTCCAGTCCAGCAAGGTGATACCACAGAAATGCATGGTATGTGCTAAACATAATAACACCTTCCATAAGTTGTTCAGGTACAAGGACCTTGCCATGTCCATTACAGACCCACACTTCCTAGAGTCAGCATTCTGAGAATGGTTAGGACTCCAATCTGATCCCCATTCATTGGCCTTGCCTTAAGTCTTCAGGAAAATACTTTGTATAGCATTTTATGAGATGCCAATGAGCAATCAGGGCCAGCACTTGGGCTGGTCTTCTGGATGTTTATTCTCCCAAGATTCCCACAGGATCCAGTCTCCAGGACAGCAGTGGCACAAGTGAACATCTGTGGGAAACATTAATCTGCTAGAAGTAAATGTATGTAGAGCAGTGAAAGTAGCTTCCAACGATTCTATATACCTGACAGTATCTATGTTCCTTAATTGAATTCCTTCTGGATCGCAAACTATTTCTGAAACAACGGGAAGGTCGCTAGAACAACATCTCATAGTTTCTCAACTGGCACCTGCTTCTAAGGCCTGGGCTTCTCTCGTGGTTCAGCTGGTAAAGAATCCGCTTGCAATGTGGGAGACCTGGGTTCAAGCCCTGGGTTGGGAAGATCCCCTGGAGAAGGGAATGGGCTACCCACTCCAGTATTCTGGCCTGGAGAATTCCATGGACTGTATAATCCATGGGGGTCGCAAAGAGTCAGACACAATTGAGCAATTTTCACTTCTAAGTTCAGTTCAGTTCAGTCACTCAGTCATGTCTGACTCTTTGCAACCCCACGAACCGCAGCATGCCAGGCCTCCCTGTCCATTACCAACTCCCAGAGTCTACCCAAACCCATGTCCATTGAGTTGGTGATGCCATCCAACCATCTCATCCTCTGTCATCCCCTTCTCCTCCTGCCCCCAATCCCTCCCAGCATCAGGGTCTTTTCCAATGAGTCAGCTCTTCACATCAGGTGGCCAAAGTATTGGAGTTTCAGCTTCAACATCAATCCTTCCAGTGAACACCCAGGACTGATCTCCTTTAGGATGGACTGGTTGGATCTCCTTGCAGTCCAAGGGATTCTCAAGAGTCTTCTCCAACACCACAGTTCAAAAGCATCAATTCTTCGGCACTCAGCTTTCTTTATAGTCCAACTCTCACATCCATACATGACCACTGGAAAAACCATAGCCTTGACTAGTCAGACCTTTGTTGACAAAGTAATGTCTCTGCTTTTTAATATGCTGTCTAGGTTGGTCATAACTTTCCTTCCAAGGAGTAAGCGTCTTTAATTTCATGACCACAATCACCATCTGTAGTGATTTTGGAGCCCAGAAAAATAAAGTCAGCCACTGTTTCCCCATCTATTTGCCATGAAGTGATGGGACCAGATGCCATGATCTTAGTTTTCTGAATGTTGAGCTTTAAGCCAACTTTTTTGCTCTCCTCTTTCACTTTGATCAAGAGGCTCTTTAGTTCTTCTTCACTTTCTGCCATAAGGGTGGTGTCATCTGCATATCTGAGGTTATTGATATTTCTCCCGGCAATCTCACTTCTAAGGGCTAAATTCAACTGGAAGTAGGGCAACCAGTGAGGCTTTATTCCAGGTTAAAGTAATCTCCTGACAAATTTTAGCCATAGTCTTTTTAAGAGTGTGATTCCTCTTCCAGTAGATTGGAGTTGTCAAGAAGCATGTAATTTCCAAAGAAGGTTTAAAGCTTTTACTTCTTGAGATATTCTTGCTATAAAGGCCCCTTTATTGTCACTCAAAATGTACCTAAGTAACCCAAACCTAGGAATTATTTCTTTTAGGAGAGCTTTAACAACCTCATGCTTTTTCAGGCCAGCAAGGAAATTCTTCTATCCGACCAGTAAAAGTGTTCACAGATGACTAATAAGGGCCTAAGGTTTCCAGTGACTATTGGCATCACAGTGAAGTCACTAATCTTCTCCCAGTCCAGCATCTGGGGTCTGAACTCCTCTGAGAAAAGGCAGTGACCCAGTTTTAGGAATATTTTTGGAACACACCATGCATTTCTGTATCAGCTTTTGAATTGTCCTTTGCATGTTTGGTCCTGTATTAAGTTAGCGAATCCACTAGAGGGTGCCGTCTCTCCCACAGTGGGTACAAGGGTGTACATCATGTTACACCTTCTGTAAGGTGTTCAGGTACAAGGACCTTACTATATCTATTATAAACCCAGCCTTCCTAGAGTCAGCATCCTGAGAATGACCAGGACTCCAATCAGATCCCCATTCATTGGCCTTAAATCTTCAGGAAAATAGATAGCATCTTACCAGATCTACATCAGCGACCAGAGCCAACTCTGGGGACCTAGGTGTTCCTGGCTGCTGGCTTTGCTGCTTGATCTGCTAGATTATTCCTTCCAGCAGTCACACAATCTGCTTTCTGATGTCCTGAACAGTGGACATTCATTCTTTTGGCTCCATGACAGTTTCTAATAAGGTTAAAATTTCTTCAGCAGGTTAAGTTCCTTATTCCCTGCAATTAACAGTCCTCTCTCCAAATGGCCCTATGAGCATGGGCCACCAAGAAAGCATACTTTAGGATCAGTGAAAACAGTTACTCTCTCATCCTTACATAGATGGAGGGCTCTCATCAGGGCTGTGAGTTCTCCCTTTCGTGCAGAGATTCCTGGGGGAAGGGCTTCTGCTTCCAGGGTATTTTGGTGAGTTACTACCACATACCCAGCTTTGCATTCTTCCTGGTCCATAAAGCTGCCTCCATCTGTGAACATCTCAAGGTCTGGGTTCTCCAGTGGCTGGTCCATCAGGTCGGGATGGCTGGAATAGACTGGTTCAGTTATCTGAATGCAATCATGCATAAGCTCTTCAGTATTGTTTGGGAGCAGAGTGGCAGGATGCAAGATGGAGGCTGCTTTCAGAGTAACATTAGGATTATCCAATAATATAGCCTGATACTTTGCATATCTTCCTGAAGTTAAACCAATATCCTCCCACTCTGTTCTAGGAGGAGAAATAAACAGTGAGGGGTATGCACTGTGGCAGGTTGTCCTAATATAAATTTCTCCGCTTCTGGTAAAAGATCACAGGTCACTGCTACAGCCCAAAGACAAATTGGCCATCCCTTAGTAACTGTATCTAATTGCTTTAAGAAATACTCAGCAGGCTCCTTATGCTACCCAGGTTCCAAGTCAGGACTCCAAGGCTGATTCTTTGTCTCTCATGAACAAATAAGTCAAAGGGCTTTCTGATATCTGGAGGACCTAAAGCCAGGGCAGTTAGTTTTTTCTTTGATAACCTGGAATGCACTATAGCATTTCCCTAGTTGAGTCTAGAGACTCATGTCTCCTCCTTTAGAGTGAAAGTGTTAGTCACTCAGTCATGTCGAACTCTTTGTGACCCCATGGACTGTAGCCCACCAGGCTTCTCTGTCCATGGGATTCTCCAGGCAAGATTTCTGGAGTGGGTTGCCATTCCCTTCTCCAGGGGATCTTCCAAAAAAAGGGATTGAACCTGGGTCTCCTGCATTGCAGGCAGATTCTTTACCATCTGAGCCACCAGGGAAATCTCCTTTAAAAGAGCTTCCTAAAAGGGTTTTGCAGTGAGTCCAAAACTGGGGATCCAGATGAGGCAGAACCTGGCCATCCCTAGGAATCCCTGAAGTTTATTTATTTATTTATTTATGTATTGACTGTGCTGCATGGCATGTGGGGTCTTAATTCCCCCGCCAGGGATTGAACTCATGCCACCTATAGTGGAAGTTCGGGTATCAACCACTTGACAGCCAGGGAAGTCCCCCTGTGGTTCTCTTGGTATAAGAATGGCAATCCCGGCTAGAGCTTCCTCTGTCAAAGAGCAAGTTTGTATCCGTGAGAGTTCAGAACTCAAATATTTTGCAGAGGGCAGAACAGTATGACTTTTTCTTCAACACCTTTTGGCGTCGTTCAACCAAAAAGTTCAAGGTCAAAACTGTGTGCTGGTCTGAGATGCCCTTTGTCTTACAAGCAATCAGAATATCATCCACAAACTGGATCAAGGCTGCCTCGATTAGCTGAGGGTCTCTCAAATCTTTTGCCAGGATTTCTCCAAATATCGTGGGAGTATTTTAAAAATTCCTGTGGGACTACTATCCAGCAATATTCTTGCTGAACTTCTGTATCTAGATCTTACTACTCAAATCTAAAGACTCTTAGGATTCAAAACTCATGATTATACAAAAAAAGGGAATCCAAGTCTAATGCAGTAAGCCAACACAAATCTCCAGAAAAAGTAGTGAGCAAAGTGTATGAGTTAGGGACTCCTGGATGAATATCTTCTACAGTTTGATGAATATCCCTCAAGGCGTGCATAAATTGATATTCATCTGTGCCTGGTGTCCAGACAGTAAAACTGAAGTATTATCAGGTGACAGCAGGGATGTAGTAAATCATGTTCCAGGGTTTCCAGGGTGAATTGAATCAATTTTTCCCCCTTTTGAATGGACTAAACTTCCAGGTGGTTGCAGAAAAGAAATTTTTCCAAGGGTCCCTGTTACTGTCACCAATAAGTTGAATCCCCAATTGCCAGTCATTAACTTAATCAGATACAGATGGACATGGACAAGACCAAAATGAAACCAAAGCCCAAATGGGCTCCGGGCTTCTAACTCAGGTATGGAGGTCAGAACTGCCAATCAGTCTAGGTTCAAGTGAATTTCTTGAACAGGGTTACTCATCCAAAAGACGTCTTCTCACCCCAAGACGTCTTCCAACCCCAAATCCCCCAAATCACCTCCTTGCTACAAAACTAAGCACTGAATGTTGGCTGCGCCTTGCCAGGAAACCCAGGGAATCCTCCCTGGAACAGATGGACAAGAGGGCTATTTGGACTCACCCACAGGCTTTTAATACCGGCAACAGGCTGACCAACCATGGGCAGCAGGTCCATCTGGATTTATCTCCTGGCTGGTGTGCCGTATTTGTTACTGAACCAGGTTCCCTCTGCCCTAGCTTTGCAGCCAAAATGCTCAGATGCCAAAGTTTAGAGCAGAGAGAGCGTTTATTCACAAGGCAGCCAAGTGAGGAGGCTGAAGAACAAATCTCGAACCCTCTTCCCTGAAGGCAGGGGTTCAGGGTATTTATGGGAGAAAGAAGCAGGGCATCTGAGCTGTGAGAGGAGTCAGGGGGAGAGGATAAGGGAACGCTGCGGTAATCGTGGCTCTGAGAAGGCGTAACCAGGCTACAGGCTCTGCGCCTTCAAAGGGGCACTGCTGGGACCCTCGAGCATGCCTGGTTGAAGGGTCAGTGGTCCCATCCAGGCTTAATCAGCTCAGCTGGAACTGCTGCTGCTGCTGCTAAGTCGCTTCAGTTGTGTCCGACTCTGTGCGACCCCATAGACGGCAGCCCACCAGGCTCCCCCGTCCCTGGGGTTCTCCAGGCAAGAACACTGGACTGGGTTGCCATTTCCTTCTCCAATGCATGAAAGTGAAAAGTGAAAGTGAAGTCGCTCAGTCACATCCAACACTTCGCAACCCCATGGACTACAGCCTACCAGGCTCCTCCATCCATGGGATTTTCCAGGCAAGAGTACGGGAGTGGATTGACACTGCCTTCTCCGCAGCAGGAACTAGACACAGCCGATTACAAGTTCCCAAAAAACAACTTGGGCAAACATCTTATTTAAGCCACGTGCTTCTTGGAGGACAGGCATGTCTTCCATGGTGACAACAGCCTTGATCAGTGAAGACAGGTTACAGGTGAAATGGATTTCACTAACGCTTCCCCAATGTTTTAGAAACTTAGAGAAGCAGGGGGTCTAGAGTCAGCTATCCAGATTCCATCCCAGTGCAGTCTTAGTATCCCTGTGCCTTGGGGTTCTTACTTGTACTCTAAGTGAGGGCTTCCCACGTGGCACAGTGGTAAAGAACCCGCCTGCCAATGCAGGACACGCGAGAGACACGTGGGATCCCTGGGTCAGGAAGATCCCCTAGAGAAAGAAATGGCAGCCCACTAGGGTATTCTTTCCTGGAGAATCCCGCAGAGGAGCCTGGTGGGCTGCAGACTCTGTGGGATCACAGAGTCAGACATGACTGAGTGAGCCTGCACACTATTAAGTGAGAATGCTATTGCAAAGGGGTGTTCAGGGTAATCAGTGTATTCATAAAAGGGCCCTGGATAGCACCTATTTGGAAGAGGCTTGATACACATTAACACTATTATCCTTAAGAATAAAAGTCAGGGACACCTCTTGAAGCAGATGCCATCCTTATAAAGTTGCCTGAGGACTGGAAGGGGCGGGACTGGTGCACTAGCCCTGACTGTGAGGTGGCAGAGCAGGGAGGGGAGGAGGTGGTTAGGAGTCCGTTCACACTGTGGACTTGCACGCTCTTCGCCCAGGGCCGGAACTGCCTAGGAAGTAATTAACCCTTGTCCAGTGTTACGGAATAACCTCTGTTCTCGTCTCTTCCATCGGGATTCCTCTTCAAATGTCAGTTGGGTACTGCCGAGCCACGTCAAGTGCCTCTGTCTGTTCCTGCCCACAGTCCGTCCACACCGGGACATGGCTTTCTTGTACTGCAGTCCTTAGATCTATTTGCAGAAAGTTCTTGCTCCCTGATTACACACCTGAAGAGTTTTCCTTTGTGAACCTGATGTCCCTTGATATCCCCGTGGATGCTGTGGCACTCAGGCATGCTGGGAATAGCCGCTCTTGCCTTTGGCTGGATGCCCCAGGTCTGCTCCGTGGCCTGAACCAACTCTTTCTCATGACCAGAATTCCTCCTGCTTGTCAGCTTGGTCCCAGTACCATGATGACTCTGAGGGAGGGAGAGGGACCACACCCGGTCCCTTTGGCAAGAAGAGCATCTTCCCGATTAGGTCCAGGTTGAAGTGGGGTGCTCCCGTTCCCTCCCGGGTCCTTCCTCAGCAGGCCCTTCCTGTGAATGGCCAGTTAGAGCAGGTGTCAGGTTTTTCCCATTCCAGCCATCAGTCAAGGCTGCATTTCCTCCCCTTGTGTTCGCATCTGTGGAACAAGAGAGTCAGTAAGGGCTCGCCTTCTGAGAGGTGCTCTCTAAAAATCACTAGGTTCCTAGAAACAGGTTAGCATTTCTCCAATTATTTGTGGTGGAGGACCAGGTATCATAAATTTTTAACTTGTCACAGACCAGTACTGTTGTAAAATAGGATAGACGTGAATTACTAGAAAAATGAAATGCAAACCAAAAGTATAAGCCCACTGATCACGTGTTTGAATGGCAGCAATATCAAATTGCAATAAACGCTTGGAAAGGCTTAGCCTCAGTTCTGTGCTGACCTTGTCACCGTCGGGACAATCCACGGGGCCCAACTGACTTGATGCCAAAGCGCTGCTGTCAAAGATGTTTCATTGAAGCATCTGTATCTTTTCTGACCACTTTTAGGTTGTCTCCACCATGAGGTACAAAACGAGAAAGGAGAATAAGAAACAGGCGGAGGAGAAGGGAAAAGCCGACCAGACGGGTTCTGCCGAGAGACCCTCCCCGTGGTTTCTGCCCCAAAGCCGCTCTCTGCCCTCCTCGCCCCACCGCCCCAGTACCCACAAGGCCCCCAGGGCCGGGCGCTCCTCCAGCGTCCCCTGCGGCGTCCCCCCGGACCCCAAGGAGCTCTCCCGCCGGGTGCGGCACTCCGTGGACCTGGAGCTGGAGAGGTGCCGGCAGCAAGCGGGCTTCCCGGCGATCAGGGAGAGGGAGGAGCCCTCGGCCTCGGAGTCAGAAGTGGACTCAGATGCCTGCGAGGAGCAGCCGGAACCCACGCCGGAGGAGTGGAGGCAGGTGGGTGTGGCCCGCGCCGCTCTCTGCAAAGAGCAAGGATTTCACAAAACCCAGCAAACCTCCTCCTGGCTCTTGCCGTCTTTCTTTCTCTCTCCCTGAGGTCAGAGCACCCAAACTGGTATTTGCTTGTGTGCTAAGTCGCTTCAGTCGTGTCTGACTCTTTGCGACCCTGCGGACTGGACTGTATGTAGCTCGCCAGGCTCCTCCGTCTATGGGATTCTCCAGGCAAGAATACTGGAGTGGGTTGCCATGCCCTCCTCCAGGGGATCTTCCCGACCCAGGGATCGTACCCTTGTCTCTTGGGTCTTCTGTATTGGCAGGCGGGTATCTTTACCACTAGTGCCACCTGGGAAGCCCGGTATTTGCCTAGTGATGCCTATAGTCTGGAGTTTTATAAAGCTGGGAGATGGGCCAGGTGGGCTCTATTGTCTGAGTAAGCTTGGTTTAGTGACTCGGCATCACTGGGGGGAGAAGGTAAGCCACAGTTTATCGGATGCTGTTTTATGCATAGCTGACATCAGATGGCTGCTGCCGCTCAAGGCCAAAAGTGTCATATCAGCAGCTCCTGTCCTCTTTGCAGGCAACTAGAGCCTTTTCCAGAATCTTCAGAACTGCATCCCATGGCCAGCCCAAGCGGCAAGGGGGAGTGGAAAAGCACGTATTTAGCCAGGCACAGTGCCATGCCAAATACCCCAGTCTAAGAGTTCTGTCAGCAAGGAAGAGGGAGAAGAATGGATACTAAGGAGGAATGCACAGTGCTTGCCAAAACAGATGACTTTGGCAGCCAAATGGGGGCTGTTTCACCAGGGCAAGACTGTGGCAGGGAGACTGTGATCTAGGTGGGAGATGCTGCTGCTGGTGATCTGTTGTGGTAGAATTAATGGGACTACTCGAACTCGTTTTGTTCAACCACTCTTGACCTACAAAAATGGCAGCTTCTTATGCTTCCTTGAATAAAGAAAAGAAAAGGAGAGAATCCAGAATTACTTAAGAGTCAAAATTAGCAGAACTTGCTGGTTGACTGGATGGAGGGTGGTGAGAAAGAGGAGGACCTGCAGGTGATTCTGAGGCTAGAAACCTCCAAGAAAAAGATGGTCAGTTTGGGTGACACTGAGTTATCGATCGGGACCTCAACATCCACTTAGAAATGAAACTTTAAAATGCAAGTCTCTCCTTTCGCAAAACATACCTTTTTTTCTCTCCAGGTGGTGGATATACTGTGGAGTGACCCCATGGCTCAGGAGGGCTGCAGGGCCAACACTGTTCGAGGAGGCGGCTGTTATTTTGGGCCGAATGTGACAGAGCGGTTGCTACAGAAGTACAACCTGCAGCTCCTGATCCGCTCGCATGAGTGCAAACCTGAAGGCTATGAATTCTGCCATGGTCGCAAGGTGGGTAGGCGTTTGCTACAGCACACAAGTGGTCCTATTCCCCCTCCAGGGCATGAAGGAGCTAAGGCCCTGGCTCCTCACAAACAGCTGAGCCTGGTATTCGTTACCCACTTGCTCAAAGCAACAAGGCCCTTTACTGTCATTTATCCTTGGCATTTGTAGCCTCTTTAAAACTCAAAATTTGACTGAGGCCACCACCTATCAGTACATACCGTGAGAGGAAAGTAAAGAGCAGATATAGCCCCATTTCATGGATGGAAATATGGCTGGATGTTTTCCCCAGCCACCTCACTATTCTTGTCACAATGCCCACTGTCACAGGTCTCCAATTACACGACAGGGTCACAGGATCTCTGCACTGCACCCCAGGCAGGAATTCAGGATTGTTTGTCTTCTCGGGAGCATAATTAACATCCTGTCTAAATCTCTGGGCATCTCCAAATCCTTCAGTGTTTGATGGTCTAATGCCACTAAGATAAGACTATTCCCAGGAATACTAACCCTGCAGGAGAATTACATGTTTCTATGCAGAAAACAAAGCTTGAGGTCAACTAATGTAAACAGTGTTTAACAGAAATGTTAAACAGTTGTATGCATTTCTTTTTTTTAAGGTTTTTAAAATAACATTTATTTCTTAAAAGTTAACATGTGCATAATAAGAAACCAAAAAACACAAGAAGCAAAAGACAAAGTCATTCATAATCACAAGCAGTTTACCGTGTGACATGTCCTTCTAGGTCTCATTTGTGTATTTTCACAACTAAGTATCCATTTTAATGTAATTAAGATCATACAGTTATATATCCTGCTGTTTCACACATAATGAATATTTACCATTTCAAAGTCCCAAAGCTCTGAGTATTTTGATAACCAAGAATACTACACCAACTCAATCTGGAAGGAAAAAAAATGCAATCTTGCCTTTCTTGGTGAAAAAAATTTCAAAGACAAAAATGGCAACAGGCCTCTAGATAAACATATTGGCAGAGCTATGATTAAAATACTACATTCCCTTAATGTTCAATTAAAAGTGAGGCATAAAGCAAGAGAGAACACAAAGTATAATTCTTCTAAGAGGATTCATTATCTGATCTAAACTAAATAGTTGTATACATTTCTATATTGCAGAACTTCTCAGAGCCTTTAATTTCCTATATTCACTATGAATCCCGAAGAAGAGATACAGTGTCCAGCATTTCCCAGTGTATCAACAACAGAAACCTTTTTTCACAGGGCATCTCAGGAGGCTCAACACTCCACAGTAAACTCTGCTCTGAGGCTTAACGCCAGTGATAATAGCTGATATGCCTACTAGCTGTAATGCCCATCCCAGTTTATCAGACCTCTGAATCGGACCAAATAAAGTGTTATCTATGACCGCTGCTATTTTTTATTGGGATAAAAATGTAAAGAAAAAAAAAAAAAGAAAAAAAAATGTAAAGAAAACATGTTGTGGATGTCCTGTCAGAATTCAAGTCTTTATTACTTGAGTCACAACTCCTGCCCTGCTAGCATTAGTGATTTAACATAAATAAACTGGGCTTCCCTGGTGGCTCAGTGGTAAAGAATCTGCCTGCCAATGCAAGAGACCAGGGTTTGTTTCTATTTCCCCTGGAGAAGGAAATAGCAACTCACTCTAGTATTCTTGCATGGGAAATCCCATGGATGGAGGAGCCTGGCGGCTGCAGTTCATAGAATCACAAAAGAGTCAGACATGACTTAGCAACTTGACAACAACAACAACATAGATGAAATCAAGAAGGAATAGAAGGAACAACCACCCCCAAAATTGGGTTGGGCCCTATGGGATTGAGGATAAACTGTTCTTCAGTGAACCTGAATGCCCATCTCTCTTCTGTTTTGATTTAGGTGTTAACCATCTTTTCTGCCTCCAACTACTATGAAGTTGGCAGCAACAGAGGAGCCTATGTCAAACTGGGGCCAGACTTGACCCCACACATCATGCAGTTTCAAGCTAACAAGGCAACCCACACGCTTACCATGAGGCAAAGGCAAGACTTTTCAATGAATGATTTTCAGAAAGAGAATTATAGTGTTTGTGGAAACTGTGAAGCACAAATGTTAAATTTATCCAGATGCTAAGTCAAAATTTAGCTATGTCAGCACTAGGACCTAGAAGAGACTTTAAAACAGGGGCTCTTCTTTTCTTCCAATACACTCTGCCTACCCATCATTAATGGAAGTGACATGTGTATTTCCTGCAGAAATTATTCTCAGTGGGTATGTCTTAGGTGAAATCCATATGACAGGCCACTAAATCATTCCAGGATCACTCTTCCTTTCTCTTTCATTCTTATTCTCTTTCATTCTTAAAGTGTTTGCGATACCTAGTCAACCACAGACAAACCTTCCTTCACTGTCTGGGGGTTTGGCAGATGGACTCTCATCTACACACATTTGTTACCAATGCTTCTTTCTTCCTGGGAAGGGAGCATATAATATTATTTAAATGGCTTCTGTTGAGATGATCCTGAGTTCTAATATTAGTTGAGAGCTTACTATTGAATATACACTGTTATTACAAAGAACTTATATATTGTTTCTCAGTGAGCTTATAAAACTTGTATATTGTTTCTCAATGAGCTTATTATTTCAGTTTTATAGATGAGATCATTACGGAACAGAGGTTAAATCAGTGATCTGAGGTCACACAGCCAGTAAGTGGTGAAAGTAAGCCTTGACCCAGACAATCTTATTTCAGAACCCACATACATAACAGCTCTACAGTGCTGCTGCCCCCTGAGAAGCTGGCCCTGAAGTGTATAAGCTGCTGAAAGATACAGTTGTAATGCTGCTGAACCAGCTTCTTTAATTATCAGACAAACTAAGTTAGAAATCAAAGTCAACATAAGTCTAGTGGAAAAAGAACACATGCATGCTGGATCTTAGTTCCTGGACCAGGGATCAAAACTGCACCCTCTGCAGTGGAAGCTCAGAGTCTTAACTGCTGAACTACCAGGGAATCCCCAGCATCTATTTACTTTTGGTTTAAATCCATCCTTCACAGCTTAGCCAGCCTGGAGTCCACCTATCAAGACTGATTCCTGCCCCCTACTTGTTAGCTATGTGACTTTGGGCTAGCTGCTTATACTGTACTGGGCAGAAGAGTTGTACCTACCTCAGTGGGTGTTGGAGGATTAATCAGATGATCCATGCAGAGCTCAGTATGTGCTGCCTGACGCAGGGAACAGAGAGACTTGTGCGTCCAGACAGCCTTAAAGGTCATTGCTATATGCCATCCCTGAATGATAGCCATCAATGAGTAAGATCTACCAGAAATAGTTTAAATGCTTTGCATTTAAAATAGTTTAAATGCTCTTAAACTTTTAGGGGCTCTCATACTTTTTCTAGCCTCTGATAAAACAAAATATTCTCCAGATAAAGTACATACACTCACATACCCATGAAATTTGAGATGAATTTTTTAGGCAACTCACACTTTTCTGAGGGTGTATGGAGACTATTATGTGAAGTACCTTAAACTTCAAGGAAGACTTTCATCAAACATGATTTTGGGTGTTTTTTTTTTTTTTAGCACTTCTAAAGATAGATTATCTGGTCACCATTTATAGAATGGCTGCTTCTTCAATGAGACAGGACAGTTGGATGGCATCACCAACTCAATGGCCATGAGTCCGAGCAAACTCCAGGAGATAGTGAAGGACAGGGAAGCCTGGCGTGCTGCAGTCCATGGGGTCACAAAGAATCAGACACAACTGAGGGACTGAGCAGATTTCTTCAATAGTGATTCTGTTTTTTTTTTCATGTTCCCTGTCATCCCTTGTACCAGGATTAGCAGAGTGGAGGAGTCAGCTTTGAGAGCCCTACGGGAGAAGTTATTTGCCCATTCCTCAGATATTCTTGTTGAATTTAAGAAGCATGATAAAGATGAAACTGGTAAGACTAATCAAGTAAAATATTCACAGAGGAAGAAAATTGGTCAAAAACCCTGTCTCACAGTAATTAGCAAATAAATATTGGCTTAAGGATCAAATGACCAGAAGACTTCTTTGACTACTTCCTCCATTTTATTCAACTTGATGTCCTAGCTATCTTTTCTAAATTTTTTGATTCTAAGCTTTTAACAAAATGTAAACTTGGCTAAATATAAACAAAGATGGTGAAAAGAAATGGAGTCAAGGGAAGGGTGATAAAGCCAGAACCAGGCAAAAAGCAATGGGGGACAGGTTACAAGGGTGGATCCAAGACCAAAAAGACCAATAATTTGGTTTCTCATCAATAAGTGTGTGATCACCTGTTCTGTGTTCTATTTACCCAAGCTGGAAATTTTGTCTTTTCTCAACTCAGTGGAACGTCTAATGGACTCTGACTACATGTAGCTCAGCTCAAAAAATAGCAGTTAAAAAAAATAGCAGTAACAGTACTAAAATCATAGCACTATCTTTTCATATACATAGAAATAACTAATGCTACGTATACATACATATGTTTGTATGTGAGTGTATATGTATATATATATAATATTATTTACAAGACTTGTGTAACTTCCAGGAGTATTGCCAAATAGATTTGGCAAATGAAAACAAAATACGTAATTACATTTGAATTATAGACAACAAATAGGTTTTAAATATACGTGTATCCCATGCAATATATGGGACATACTTATATTCTGTAGTCTGAGAATCGGATCTACTGGGCACCCTGTATTTTATTTGGCAACCCTACTTTCCAGCCAGCTCTTCCATAACCCACAAGAACAGTGATAGTACTCATCACTACTGTTACCTACAGATAGTAAGAAGAATGTCAGGATAGAAGATTTATAGGTGATGAGTCAACCAGTCAGCTCTTTCCTAAGGTCTAATCACCCTGAGCGACTGGGCTGCAGCCGTGGAGTCTGTGCTGCACCTGGGACTGCCCTGGCGGATGCTGAGGCCACAGCTGGTGAGCAGCTTGACGGATAACAAGCTGGCGTACAAGTCCTGGCTGGAGAACTTGGCCAAAGAAAAACTAAGCCAACAGGTAAGGGTGTAAAAATGGTTGATGAAAGCATATCGTGGACAATGAAGCCCCTTGTGGAGAACTTTGAATCAGTAACAGCCAAATATTGAGAACCCCAAAGGGAAGATGAATGGAAACAACCATCTGTTGAGTTCCTATGTGTCAGACTTTGTGTTAAGTGATCTATATATGTTGCCTCACAGTTTATTCTCAAAATCATCTCCAGGAGGTAGATATAATTAGCACCAACATACCCAAGAGAACACTGGGGTTAGATAATCTGCCTGGGATAACTTTGAACAGAGTTTCTAAGTTATAGAACTGGAACTCAAACCCAGGTCTATCCCCCATTTAAAAAGTTATTTGTTCAGTAAATACTTACATGTTAAAAAAAAAACTTACATGTATGTGAGGCCTTGGGCTATGTACTTTTTAAAAAAAAAAAGCTTTATTGCAATATAATTCATGTATCATGCAGTTCATCCATTTAAAGTGTAGAGGTCAGTGGTTTTTAGTATATTTGCAGCTATGTGCAACCATCACCATCATGGTAAATTTTACATTTTTTTATCATGGGTAGGTGCTTCTTAAGTCATCAGATTATTTAGTAGGCTGGAAGGGGTTAGGGTGGAGGGATCATAAAACACCTTCAGGCTCTTTCAGGAGTCTTGTTGTCAGGGGTGATGGTGTGGTGATTATGTATTAGGAGAAATGTAAACATAAGAGACAGAAGGAAATTGAGATTTTTTTTTCTTGTAGAACATACAGTCAAGTTTGCTGGAAATACTGTATCGCAACCGATCCAACCTGGAGACCATTTTTAGGATCATAGACAGTGATAATTCAGGTAAAGGCACACACCGTCCCGTTACTTCTGACACACGGCGAGTATTTTACCCCCGCCTTTGCATCTTTTGGAGTAAAATTAGTGGCAGTGCTAAAAACAGAAACTAGAATAGTATTTGAGCCACATGAGCTGTCCCTGTAGATGAGGGGTTAGGCAAAAAAAGAATGAAGACAAACTGAATGAGACCATCTTACAGGAAGAATTATATTAGCTGTAATATCCTTTATAGGTCTATCGGAGATTGCCACAAAGGGATGAAGAGTGTCTAGAACAGATATTTAAATTTTTAAATAATTACAGGTTAACAAGGAGTTTACAAAAAACTGTACAAGGAAGTCTTTTATACCCTCACCCTATTTCCTCATTGTTCCAAAGGCCTTTTCAAATATTATTACTTTTTTGGAGATATAATTCACATACCATATCATTTACTCATTTACAATGTGCTTCTTTAGTATATACACAAGCTTGTGTAACTATCATTCTAAAGACAAACCCTTTCCCATTAACAGTCACTCCCCATTCCCTGTTCCTTCTCCCTGAAAATCATTAGTTTCCTTTCTGTATATCTATGCATTTGCCTATTCTGGACATTCCATATAAATAGACTCATGACACATGGCCTTTGGTGTCCAGCTTCTTTCACTTAGCATGTTTTCAAGGATCACCCATGTTGCAGCATGTATCAGCTTCTTTCTTTTTATACATGAATAATATTCCATTGTATGAACATATCACATTTTGTTTATCCATTCATCTGCTGATAGACAGTTGGATTGTTTCCACTTTTTGGCTGTTATGAATAATATTGTTATGAACGGTCATACACAACTTGGTGTGTGCACATATGTTTTCAGTTCACTTGGATGTATTCCCAGGAGTGCAATTGTTGGACCATATGGTAAAACTACGTTTAACTTTTTGGGGAATTGCCAAACTGTTTTTCCACAGTGGCTATACCATTTTACATTCCTACTGACAACATATGAGGGTTCTAATTTCTCTATATCGTCACCATTTTTTTCATTAAAAAATTTTTTTCATAGCCATCCTTCTGGGTGTGAAATATCTCATTATGGTTTTGCTTTGCATTTCCTTCATAACTAACAATGTTGAACACTTTTTCATGTGCTTATTGGAAATTTGTATATCTTCTGTGGAGAAATGTCTGTTCAAATCCTTTGCCCATTTTTTAATTGGGTTATCTTTTTACTGTTGAGTTGTAAGAGTTCTTTAGATATTCTGGATATTAGCCCATTATCAGATATAAGATTTGCAAATATTTTCTCTGATTTTATGGTTTATCTTTTCACTTTTTTGGTAGTGTCTTTTGGTGTACAAAGGTTTTAATTTTTTTAAAGTCCAATTTATCCTTTTTCTTTTGCTGTTTGTATTTTTTTGGTATCGTATCTAAGAAAATGTTATGTAACTGAAGGTCACAAAGATTTGTACCTAGGTATTCCTCCAAGAGTCTTACAGTTTTAGCTTTAACAGTGGGGTCTTTGATCAATTTGAATTAATTTTTGTTTGTAGTGCAAGGTGGGGGTCTAATTTCATTGTTTGCATGTGGATATCCAATTGTCCTTTACCATCTGTTGAAAAAATTATTTTTCCCCTGTTGAATGGTTTTGAAACTCTAGTAAAATATTAACTGACCATAGACGTGTAGATCCATAGGCTTTTTATAAGCAGAATAAATTAGCATATGTTTGAGATGATTTAATGCAGGGTTTCTCAGCATGGCACTACTTACATTTGGGCTTGAGTAATTCTTTGTTTTGGGGCCTACCCTGTACATTTTAGGATGTTTAGTAACATCCCTGGCCTTTACCTATTAGATACCAGTAACACCCTACCCCCACTCCAGTCATGACCATCAAAAGTGTCTCAAAACATTTCCAAACGTCCCTATAAGGAGAGCAGCAAAATTGCTTCCAGCTAAGAACCAATGATCAAGTGGTTTAGTGCGATCCTCTTGGGATCGTTTAAAGTGGATGGCAGGCCTTGGGTGTCTTTGTTGTAACAGTAGAGAATAGGTGTCCTTGAAAGAATATCAGAGGAAATGAGCACTGAAAACCAGACTGACTCACTAAAGTGACTTGCTCTCTCTGGTAAGGGTCCATCTCACTGGACGAGTTCAGGCATACTTGGAAGCTATTCAGCTCTCATATGAACACTGACATCACAGACGACTGCATCTGTGACCTTGCCCGGAGCATTGACTTCAACAAGGATGGCCACATTGACATCAATGAGTTCCTGGAGGCCTTCCGTCTTGTGGAGCAATCCTGCTCAGGGGGTGACGTCTCAGATTGCCCACAAGTCACAGACAGTAGTAACAGTGGCTGCAGCAGCCCAGGTGCACACTAAGGCCAGCTCTGTCCCCATCGCCCAAGGTGCCTCAGAAGCAATGCCGAGCTTGTTGCTGGAATGTCTTCCTTATTCTCCATAAATTCAGGGAACTTTATGCTTAGAATTTGCCTACCAATATGCAACAGAATCACCTGTGTATTCAGGCGAATTCCACCAAAGAACTTTTACCAATCTTTCTCAAACTTTTCCAAAAGACTGAAGAGGGAACACTCTTAAAGATAATTCTATGAAACCACCATCACCCTGATACCAATATTAGACAGATACCACCAAAAAAGAAAACCACAGGCCAATATCTTTAATAAGTATAGATATTTGTATTTATAATGCAAAATTTTTCAACAAAATATTATCAAACTGAATACAACAACACATAAAAATGATCATACGCCATGACCAAGTAAGATTCATCCCAAGTTCACAAGGATGGTTCAACATAAGCAAAATCAATTGGAAACACCACATCACAAAAGAAAAGACAAAAACCACATGATCATCTCAGAAGATGCAGGAAAAGCATTTCACAATTCAACATCCATTCATGATAAAAACTCTTATCAGATTGGGTTGGGGGAACATATTTCAACATAATAAAACCTATTTATGACAAACCCACAGCCAATATAACACTCAACAGTGAAAAGCTGAAAGCCTTCCCACTAAGACCTGGAACAAGACAAGGGTACCCACTCTCACCACTTCTATTGAACATCATATTGGAAGTCTGAGCAGCAGCAATCAGACAATAAAAAGAAATAAATGGTATTCAAATTGGAAGAGGAGAGGTAAAACTGTCATTATATGCAGATAACATGATATTATATAGATTAAACCCTAAAGATTCCACACAAATGCTAGAACTAATAAATGAATCTGGTGAGGTAGCAGGATACAAAATTAACATACAGAAATCAGTTGCATTTTGTACTAACAATGACATATCAAAAAAGGAATATAAGAAAAAACAATACCTTTAAAATTTATACCAAAAAACCCCAAAATATTTAGGAATAAACCTGACCAAGGCAGTGAAAGATTTATATGCTGAGAACTATAAAACATTAATAGAGAAAATTATAGCTGATTCAAAGAAATGAAAACATATCTCATGCTCTTGGACTGGAAGAATTAATAGTGTTAAAATGGCAATACTGCCCAACACAATCTACAGATTTAATGTGATCCCTATCAAATTACCCATAACATTTTTCATAGGACTACAACAAATAATCCTAAAAATTTATATGGAACCATAAAAGACACAGAATTGCTAAAGCAATCCTAAAGAAAAAGAACAAAGCAAGAGGTGTAATTCTCTCAGACTACAGACAATACTACAGAGCTACCATAATCAAAACAGTGTGGGCTTGGCACAAAAACAGACACACAGATCAATGGAAGAGAATAGAGACCAGAAATAAACTCTCACACCTATGGCCAATTAATCATCAACAAAGGAGAAAGAATATAAAATGGGAAAAAGATAATCTCTTCAATAAGTGATGCTGGGAAAGTTGGAGAGTTGCATATAAATCAATGAAGTTTGAATACACCCTCACACTATGCACAAAAATAAACTCAAAATGCCTTAAAGACTTAAACCTAAGAAATGACACCATAAAACTCCTAGAAGCAATCATAAGCATTCTCCGACATAAATTGTACCAGTGTTTTCTTAGATCAGTCTCTCAACGCAACAGAAATGAAAATAAACAAATGGGACCTAATCAGACTTACAAGCTTTTGTACAGCAAAAGAAGCCATAAACAAAATGAAAAGACACCGTGTAAAATGGGAGGAAAATCTGCAAATGATATGACCCACAAAGGTTTACTTTCCAAAATATACAAACTCATAAAACTCAACAACAAAAAAACAAACCCAATCAAAAATGGGCAGAAGACCTAAATAGACATTTTTCCAAAGAAGACATACGGGTGGCCAATAGGCACATGAAAAAATGCTCAACATTGCTAATTATTAGAGAAATGCAAATCAAAACTATAATAAGGTACCACCTCACACCTGTAAGAATGACCATCATTAAGAAGTCTACAAATAACAAGTGCTAGAGAGTGTGTAGAGAAAAGGCAACCCTCCTCCACTGTTGGTGGGAATGTAAGTTGGTACAGCCACTATGGAAAACTGTATGGAAGTTCCTCAGTAAGCTAAAAATAGAATTACCATATGATCCAGCAGTCCTACTCCTGGGCATATATCCAGACAAAACTATAATTCAGAAAGATACATGCACCCCTATGTTCACAGGAGCCCTATTTTCAATAGTGAAGACATGGAAACAATCTAAATGCCCACCAACAGATGAATATATAGAGAAGATGCAGTGTATATACACAGTGGAGTATTACGCCCATAAATTCCACTCCCAGTGGAATACTACAGTCATAGAAAAGAACAAAATAATGCCATTTGCAGCAACATGGGTGGACCTAGAGATTATCACACTAAGTAAATAAGTCAGAAAGAGAAAGACAAATGCCATGTGCTATCACTTATATGTAGAATCTAAATGAATCTACCTACAAGACTGAATTAGACTCACAGATAGAGAGAGCAGGCTTGTGGTTGCGAAGGTGGGTAGACCAGGGAGTGATGGACTGGGAATTTGGAGTTAGTAGATGCAAACTATGACATATAGAATGGATAAACAACAAGGTCCTACTGTATAGCACAGGGAACTCTATTCAATATCCTATAATAAGCCATAATGGAAAAGAATAGTAAAAAGAATGTATATATACAACCAAGTCACTCTGCTGTACTGCAGAAATGAACACAACATTGTAAATCAACTCTGCTTCAGTGAAAAAAAGTATCATCTGTGTATTGGGTATGGAGGATGAGATTATTTTTAAATATATAGGTCCCCAGCTCCATCTCAGGATTTTCACAAGGTAGCACCCAGGTGTAAGTATTCTGAAACTCTGAGGTCTATCCCAGTTAAGAACCACTAATAATTCAACCCCTTCATTGTTTTCATTGTATACCTTTTATTTATTGTTTTTATAATGTTTTATTGGAGAGGGAGGTGGGAGGGGGGATTGGGATGGGGAACACATGTAAATCCATGGCTGATTCATGTCAGTGTATGGCAAAAACCACTATAATATTGTAATTAATAAATTACAACTAATTTATTACAACTAATAAAAATAAATGGAAAAAAAAATGTTTTATTGGTAAAGTTATAAGAAATTGTATAATCCCACGACCAAAACATATGTATCCTTTTCCTTATTTACTTTTTCTTGTTATAACTATAATGTTTATGTATGTAACTTAATGTTCTGTTTGTGTTTTATAAATTTACATCTGTGTTGCTACATAGTCTTCATGATTCTTTATTTAATGGCTGCATAATTTCACATAGATGTAATATAATCTATTCAGTCATTCTCCAATTGTTAAACATGTATTTCCAGTTTGTCATTATTATAAATAACACTGGTTCAAAACTTTATGCATATGGCTTGTTTCATAAAAATCTTTCAAATTATACATCTTCTTAGGCTAGATTCCCAGGCAAGAGATTATTTTGCCAGGTGTTGAATTAGTCTATAAGAAGGTTTACTGTGAGGCTCACATGATTATGGAAGCCAAGAAGTCCCAAAATCTTCAGTCAGCAAACTGGAGACCCCAGAGAGTTGATGATGTGGTTCCACATTGGTTCCAAAATGTGGTTTTCAGCTGATGGGTACAAAAAGCCAGGACCTTCCCTCATACGAGGAAATAAGTTTTGTGAACAACCTGACTTAACTTGGAAGCAGATTCTTCCAGAGGTAGTTGAGCCTCCTGGCAAGAAGTCAGCCTGGTCAACACCTTGACTGCAGACTTGTAAGACCCTGAGCTGAGGACCCAGTAAAGCTGTGCCTGAATTCTTGAACCAAAGAAACTTTGAGATAATAAATGTGTGTTGTGTTAATCGACTGTTTGTGGTTAGTTTCTGAGCATAGGGAAGCAACACACTGTGCTTCCTGGGAAACTTTTTGTTTTCTTATTCCATCACTCCAGAAGAGTCTGGATTTCCATCAGTGAGTACAATCTGGAGAAGAGTTCAAATATTTTAAGTGAATACTTATGACCCATGTGTTTGCCTTGCCTGTTTCACTAACTGGTAGACCAAGCATACTGATGAATTCACATTTATATCTGACCTATCTCGTGAAAACAGTTCAAACTCAACAAATAAAGCATGTGTTATTTCCACAACAACCTCCCCCCCACACTGTTCTTTATGATTAAAGGTAAACAAGGACTCTGAGGCTCCAAGATAACTCAAGAGAGGATAAGTAGAGCCCTGGGCAGTATGTATGGGAATATACTGCTGAGAGCAGCCCATGAAGACCATCTCTGCCACCAAGAGCAAGGGTGGGGCTTACAAAGGCAAAAGCCACAGAGCTTCACCAGATAAAATGATGGGTCAGCATGAACAAGGTCTTGGCTTGTCAGTTCAGGATGGACTGTTTGTAGTGGAGCTTGGAGGGCTGAACGCTAAACTCTGGGTTCCTTTCTTGAGTCTCGATAGCATAGTCACAGGCTCGCGCCTGCTCACCGTAACCAGTTTTCTGGGAAGTTCCTGCTCTGGTTCCTTTTTCAGGGGCCTCACTCTTTGCTAGTTACACCCTTTGGACTCTGTGTCCTGTGGTGGGCAAGTCCTGTTTGCACACTCTAGGCTTAGAGAAAACTTCCTTTGTCAATTAGCATTCAAAATTAATAGAGATTGGCTTTAAGGGAGTTTTTATTTAAAAGGAACATTTAGATTGTGCTAGGAAGAAATAGGAAAATCATGCCTCTAATCCAGTGATTTAGCCTTAGCTGCTCATTAAAATCATCTGGGGAGTTTTTAAAACATAAAATGCCTGGGGCCCTACCCCAGACCACTTAAATCAAAATCTGAGTAAGAGGCCACACTATCAAGATGTTTTAAACACTCCCCAGGTAATCCTCAAGTGCAGCCAGGCTCCAATACTGCTTAT